TTCTATCCCTACCTATTAACCTAGGATGTATGGTCATCTCTCAGTAACTAGTGATATTAGACTATACCATCCTAAGATCCGCATATGTGTATGTATATATGTGTATGTATATATATATGTGTGTGTGTACATATATATTCAGAGGTGTGTGTGAATGTGCATGTGAATGAGTGCACCTGTGTGCACATGCACATATATGTGCATGCCTACATGCATCATGGTAACAGAGTAGAATATGCTTGCAGCCATCACAGGATGAACTCCATCATGTACTTGCGAGGTGTCTCAGGGAATACTGAAAAACTTTCTTAGGTCCACACTTTCAAGCTCTAACAAGCTGTAAGAAGCCTTGATTCCTCTTCAGCAGTAAAGACAGCTTAAAGGTCTTTCTTTAAGGTACGCACTTGGTCTAATAACCATGCTTATGTGCAGAATTTTATTCTCTCATACTCAAGCTCTATAGACAGTTACTTGATCCTATGCAAGCTCAGGGAGTTAATGCATTTTTCTACTTGACTATCAGGAGAAGCTAAAACAGATGTAGGCATTACACATGGGATTGTGTTGTCACACTCAGTGTACAATCTCTGGTTTTCAGAATTGCAGGGCTGATTTCATATGAACCATTTTCAGTCTATCCCACTGTGAGCACAGCTTGAGCTTGAAGCTAGGTGACCAGGGGCTATGTGGGTGCTGCATGGGAGAGGCTATGTATAAGAGTGTCTACTGCAGCAGGCTAAAATACCTTTGTAGGTGTTCACAGTGGACCTTACAGAGCTGGGTAACTGCATCTCCTATATCCAGAGCTTTCTACCTCAGGGTATTCTGTTCAGCAGTTGGAAGTGTGTATGGTAGGAATGCCACAGTGCTGTGCTCAACATATATTTAAGGTCATATGCAAAGTAAAAAAATATAAACGAAAAAAATCATTTCTTGTTTTCCTGGCTCGTGTTGTAATTATGATTTGATTTAAACCAAATCCCCTAGGCTGCATATGTATGAACTGAACATTCCACCCCCTTCATGACCTCAAGCTGTGAGAAGAGAAAACTTAGAGCCCATATGTCAGTCAGATGTGAAGTGTCTGCCTGGCACCTGGGCATGGACCCAGTCTATGGAGTAGGCTCCAGGTCTGGAAAGATTTCGACTGATTGGTTAACAGAGGTCGTGAGGGAGCTCCATGTCAGGCTCTGAATTTGCCCAGGTGCATTCAAGGTGATAGTTGGGCCCCGTGCCCCTGGGGAAGTACTAGGGAGGGAGGTTTTGAGTTCCTTCTTTGACTTGCAGAGTTCACAGCCTCACCTACAGGTTGCCGTCAGTTCCAATTTAAACACTTTACAGACTTCAGGGTTTCCAGTGGAGAAGTTAGAAACTCCGTTTCTGGCTTTGACTCATATTTTGCATTCCTGGTCCAACCCCAATACCTGTGATCGCATTCAAGACTAATTAGGTAAACACTTAATAAGTAAATACATATAGCTGACAAACATTCTCATCCAAGCAGGCTGTCAGTGAAGAGGAGGGGAGGAAAGGGAAAAACAGAGAAAGCAAACCAGCCTATAGTCTGTATTGAGCTTCTCTTAGAAGCTATTATCTAGGAAAGGCAGTGTAATGGGCTCACCTTACACTGAGCTCCCTTCACTTTAGTGTTAATGGTTAGGCAGATGATGTCTGTCATCTGCACAGTGCATTCACAAGTGGCAAAATAAAAAAAAAAAATGAGGCAAAGCCATTCTGTACACTGCTATGAATTTACTTTGTCACTTACCAGAACTGGAGCAATTCAACACTGTACCTTCCTGACAGAACACAGCTCATTTCATATATCTTTAAAGCGTAGCACTTGATATCTGAGTATAAGGGCTGTCCCCTTGCAGTATCAGAGCAGGTTCTTCTACTAAACAACACAGTGGAAGGATCAGTATTAGCATCCTCCATACCCTGAGCTTTCTTATAGCTCAATATCTCCAATTGATTCAGTAAATTTTTGCTACAAATTTTGTTAAAAACATGTATGTTAAAAAGGGGTGCCCAGGTGTCCCTGTTTGCTGCTGAGAGTGAAAGATGGGCAACCTATCTCAGAATCAGGAGAAAAAAAAAAGAGAGTGCTCAGTCTGCCAAGCCCAGGAGCTTTTGGAGGGTCATTTACATATGAACCAAATTTACCAGAAAAAGACAAATGAGTGACAGTTTTGAAAAGGCAGGAAGAACAGAAATCCGGTGGAAAAGAGTGAGCTGTAGGAAAATAGCGTGGCTGCTACGGCAGATGTGAGAATCGGCTTTGACAGGAGTCTAGAGAAGGTGCTAAAGAAGGTTGGTTTGTTTGCTTGTTTGAGATAGAATCCGAAGCTGGCCATAAACTTCTTATACAACCAAGGGTGAATTTGAACTCCTGATCCTCCTGCCTCCTCCTCTCAAGTGCTGTGATTGCAGGTGTGCTAACAACCATGTCCAGTTACGTGG